CGAATACAACTCTTTCAACTTTTGCAGGTCTCCAAACTCTTCAGGAATGACTCCATCAAACTTGTTGTTTTGCAAATACAACATCTGGAACTTGGTTAGATTACCTAGGGCTCTGGGGATCCTTCCGATCAGAGCATTGTAGCTGAGGTCCAGAAACCTCATTTGCGGCCACGAACTCACCATCTCATCCGTCAGACCTCCCTTGAATTCATTCACCAGACGTTTGACGCTTACGAATGATGTCCGGGTCAAGCCCCAAAGTCTCAGCTCAGAGATTCCAGGAGTGTTGAATTTCCCAGCGCATCCAAAGGAACATCGAACTTGTTTCTGGAGAGATCCAGATAGGTGAGCAAGCTGATGTTTGTTAAAGATTCAGGGAGCTCTCCTCCGAACATATTGCTCTCGATGTAGATCTACTTCGCACTTGAAAGCATCCCAAGGTCCGCAGGCAGATTACCACTAAAGTTGTTGTACCTGAGCTTCAACGTCACCAAGTTGCGACAAGAGAGGAGGAGCTCAGGAAATGTACCAGTAAATGAATAATATTCTGCATTGAACAATAATAAATCAGACCATGATGTGGAACTGACATGGATCAGATTTCCCGTTCGATGGGGTATATCAGTGTAAATAGCTATGCTTTTTATCTCATTCAAGAGAGGAACTCGAAATTTTCAATAGGCAATTGAGTGCGATATTATATATTCAAGAGAAGAAGGTGTTATCAGCTGACCTCCTGATCCCTTGAGAGAAGTAAAGAGAAAAGTGAGATTCGGAGAGTAGATTGACCTATTTGATATCAAAAGTTGCAGTAAAATTGTGAAATAGACATCATCTCGTCCGTGGAACAACAAAAGCTAACTGTGATTTGCCATTTCGTGTGAATAGATCTGTTCGCGTGGTTGTTATGAAAGAGAGAGCGGAGTCATTGGTTGTACCCTTTCTTCGTTTCACGCCTTGAGGGAAGGTTGATACAATGTACTCATATTCCGACCACTCTTTGCAGTGCATGTGGTGGTTGATGTTTGAGTAGTAACAAGTTATAATAATAATATAATAGTAATAGTTGTTTGAGTTATATTTACCATTTACCATGGCCAATTAATGTTCTAGTAATGCGACTCCATATTGTTGCTACTTCAATGACGTCTTCAATAATGTAGCTGGTCCTCGAGCTGGCCCTAGTCCTACAGTTCAGCATCGTTCGCATAATAAGCTAATAAGCTAGTAGCATAATAAGCTATGGTCCCTTCGGACTTCGGAATTCAGGGCTGGAAAGTACCGTGTGATGTTTACTTGTTCGATACCTCAATCTTTTCATCCCAGGTCTTCGTCTTTGTATTGTGAATGTTGTCAATAACTCAAGAACGAAGAAGAATCCTGCTAAAGCTCTCGATCTTTCTTTGTTGCCATCCCGAGTTATTCCACCTTGAGACAGACTTCCCACCTTACAACTGGCAACCCACATCACAACTTCCAGATGGAAACAGTCTATGGTGATGCGTTACAGTTTTGTTTCTTCGTCCATAGGGTGTTTCTGGTTTGTTTGTGTTTGTTTGCTCATGAGGTCCATGGATTTAAAGCGAATATACCACCATTGCAGTGTCTGTAGATGAGTTACTCAGTTGGGTTGGGGAAACAATAGCAATCACTAGATTGCATTTCTAATTGTTGGGTTAGAATTGTGTGAGCCCATCCTATATACCTTGCAATCATGTTAAGAAAGTCTGGGTGCTTGATTTAACTTTTGATTTCATCACTCCGATCCAAGAAACCGAACAAATAACATTCACATACTGTACTATACCTACAGTGGCATCTGAACAGAGCTTCAGGCAAAATCTTAGCTCAGATTTAACGAAGTTCTTGCAACCTTTGTATTGAGTACTGTGAACATGTTTTCTGATGAATTGCTTAAGACCCTGGGGTGCTGGCAAACAGGCTGAGGAGGCGCTGAGTAAGCTCTGGCTGTTTTCCATGCCAACAGTCATGCCAGGCAAATATATCGACGGCATTCTTAGCTTATGGCATGGATTGAATCGGTTTAAGATAGTGGCTGTGTCAAATCACTAAATTCACAACATATCAATCTATGGAACCCGATAATAAATCGTAGCGGTTAAGAATTCATGAATACACTTTCCACGAGAAAATCACTGAGAACATTTGTGTCAAGCTCTCAAAGAGGTTCTCAACGTGGAAAAGGTTGATATTAGTCCGATAATATAAGAATATAGAATCTGGTATTGGTCAGCAGATCAAGGCGGCTCAGTCTGCTAAAACGCTCAGGTTTGATCTGCATATACGAGACTCAATGAAATCAGAACATACAGAAGATCGTGCTCATGAGATTCTTGCCTTACCTTGAAAGATGCAATTTAGAGGCCGAAGAGCCCAGAACTCAGAGCTGGGAAAGGGAAAGTGAAGAGCACAAAGAAGGTATGAGAAGAAGAGCGATTGCAAGGGAGGGAAGTTGGACTGATGATTTTGTTCGAAATACAATGTTCACTCTGAACGAGCTCATGTTTACTGTAGTGGTGGAGCTTAAGGGGGTCAGGTTTAGCGTGCCCCCCTCCAAGCTCAGGAAGGGTCTACACAGATTGTGATTTACAGAATGTGAAAACGAGGTCGACAAAAAAATTTCATTGGAAATTGGCTCTGCCCCTGTTTACTGTCAAAGTAGTTTCTTATATACAGTTTTTGGAAGTTTTGGTTCACATCACCGAGACATCGTCAGGTGCGTAATCACTATCTACTATGTTTATTATCTGCTACTAGAGAGCCGTGTGACTCCCACCTCATTCTAAACAGCGGTGGAGGTACTCCCTTCCTTAGCATCTGCAGCTGTTGAGAGTTCTACTATTCCTAAAGCCTCTCTATTCATTGTAAATTTTACTATGCCTAGTGGTTTTGTGAAGCAATCTATTTCTTGTTCATTTGTAGGTATAAATGTACATGTAACACTCCTGCCAGAGTTCTTTCTTGTACAAAGTGATGTTGAATTTCTATATGTTTTGTTTTGGTATGCAGAACAGGATTTGCTACTAGTTCAATACATGACTGGTTGTAGCTAAAAAATAAAGTTGGTGCGTTTTTGCATCATCCTAATTCTGCTAATCATCAAGAAAACAATGTCTTTTGCAGCTTCAAAAGGTACACTATATTCAACCTCAGTAGTTGACATCGTCACTGTAGACTCCAATTTGCTACTTCGAGCAATTAGGGTACTTCCAAGTTTGTGAATAATTCCGGTTGTAGATCTCTAAATATTGACATCCCTCTTATAATCAGAGTTAACCAAGGTATAATACCTCAAACTTCCATGTTGCTTGAAGTGAAGACCTCAATTCATCGTTCCCTTCAAATATCGCAAAATTGATTTTGTAGCAGCCCAATGAATCTCTTAAAAATGCTGCATATATTTTACACACGCTATTTAATGCGAAGCTAAAATTAAGTTTTGATATTGTTGCGACAAAGAAACGTGATCCAACCAATGATATATATAATATAGGATCAACTGCCGGTGTTGTAATATGATGCTGTAGGCGCAATCCAGGAAATTGGAAGGACGAATTGTGTTACAAGTATCTAAATTAAATTTTGATAAAAGTTTTTGTTAAAAACTTTGTTGGTGCAAGTAGATTTTAGTCTTTCTGCTCGCTCCAATTCTGCCCCTAAATACAGCTTTGCATCACCCAAGATTGTCATATCAAACTTTCTTATAAGAATACTTTTTATCCTGTTAAGTTCGTCATGATTATCCCCAACAAGCAACAAATCATCAACATAGAGTAGTACAATTGTGTACTTGCTATCAAGGATTAAATAGTACATATTACTAATAACTATGCTTTTCTTGACTCCATGCTGTGTTAAGAAAATATTGATTTTCCCATAAGGCCTTTCGTGCTTTTTGAAGGCCATAGAGAGCTTTCGCAAGTTTACACACTTTGTTTTTTTGAGATCTCTCAAAGGCATCTAGCACATACATGTATACATACATCTCCATCTAGTTTGCCATTGAAGAAGTCTCCTTTAACATCAAGCCGACGAATCTTTCAACTTTTGTTTTGCAGCTAAGGAAAGTATTGTTCATATCATGGGACACTTTACCACCGGAGCAAAGGTATCACAAAAGTCTATACCCTCTAACTATTTGTTTCCTCTAGCAACTACCATGGCTTTAATCCTCAAAACTTCTCCTGATGCTCCAACTTTGGTTTTATAAACTCACTTTGCAGTAATTGGAGTAACTTCAAGAGTCACTGTGTCAACTATCTCCCATGTCTGGTTCTTGTTAAATGATTCAACCTCTTGTTCCATTGCAGCTCTCCAACCTGCATGTGCCAATATCTTCATTCGTTGACAACGTACATAAGTAATCTTTGTATCTGAAGTTTGAAATACTTTCTCTTATCGTTGGAGAAGATTCAACTTCATGGTTCGTTTCTTCGGACTATGTACTCTCATCATCAACAAACTCGTTATCATTGACGCTTGAGTTATGTACCTCGGGCATTTCTATATTCGAGAGTGATGTTAAACTTGAGCTTGGTATTGTTTTCTCAATTTCAACTTGTTCATCAGATAAAATAGCGCTTGTTATTACTTCCTCAACTTCAACCTGCTCGTTAGAATATGATAATTTTGGGTTGCTCCGATTATATTTGGGCTTTGGCCTTGATACTTATTAAAAAAATTTCCAATTGAGATCCCATGGGCCTAGCCCTAATTATTCATCACTTTTTAGAAAGCGTGGCAGAAGTTTATCCCATACTTTTTAGGGAATTAGAACGTCCAAATGGTAAACAAAAACTTTAGTCATCCGCCACAATTTAAGTTTTCTCTTTCAGGCCAGTCTTGTATATCAAAGCTTCGAGCGCAATGCTTGAAGGCGAACCGAAGTGTAGCATTACCGGATACCACCGGTTCGTGTGGCGAACGAAGGCAGCCACTCGGGTCGAGCCGTCGAGGAGACTGGGTTTTGACATGGCTTCATCAAAAGGCGGAGGAATCGTTTCCGACGGACCGGGGAAGATCGGAGTCTTGGTTTCCCGGGCGCGTTTCGTCCAAGAAGCAGGACGGCGGGCGGAGGGGTGTCGTTGTGGTAGATGTTGATGTCGATGGTGTTGTCGTGACTGCGAAGGCGATCAAGATGCTGCCGCCGCAGCGCGAGGAGGAGGACGAAGAGGAGAAGCAGAGACGAGCATTTTGCGCAATGCTCAATACAACGGCCGGTGCCAACCTACTTCGTCAAGAAGTTTTGCTGCTCATCCCGCTTGAGAGCACCTCCAAAAGGTGTTCTCAAGCGATACGACGACGTCTCTTTCGAGGTCGAAGCGTTTGCCGGTGACGCCAATGATTGTTCGCTCTAGCAGAGACAGCGCAGAGTGCAGGGCGTTGACAGACAAGGGATGTACATTCCGATCTTTCTGCTCCAACGTTATGAGAAATTGGTCCCTCATGATCGTGATGCAGCTTTGCAAGTGTTTGGATAGAAAATTCAGACTGCCCTCTTGCCCCGAAACGCCCGAGGCAGTTCGATCAAGAACGTTGGCCCAATTCTAACGGACGGAATTTTCCTGCCGCATTCTTGCTCAGAGGTTCTCCGTAGAGGATCAGAGATGTTAAAAATTGTCCGACCTGGGACCAGACCAGTATTGAGTTCAGACGTTGGTGACATTTGAAAGACGGCTTGGCTTTGATGTTTGCAACTGTCCAGTCGCACTGTCCTTCGTCTCAATAGATTGGGTACCATCTATGTTTTCTGTGAAGTCATGAATAGAAGGGTGGACGATCACTCGCAGACGTTAGTTGTGAAAGCTCTGCTGCGGTGGGCAGGAAAGCCAGAGGGAGCCTCACGTTCAGGATCTTGACCAAATATCTTGGAGGTTGTCCTTTCTCAAGATACAGGTGCAACGCCAGGGCACGGTGCTTTGGCATTCAATTCTAGTGTGTTTTCCGACCCTGGCGCTGAATGCGAACCCTTAAAACAGTCACCAATTCTATTGGCCTTGTTATGCTTCGGCGCCTCAATCTTAATTGCTCTGGTGTGGCAAGGATCTACTCACCCATGTGAGGATGTGAGGTCTGAACAAGCGATCTCTTACTCTTCGACTTCACAGTCACTGTCTGGTTGTTTCCATCGTCCTGTACGCACAAGTTGCTACAAGCAAATATCGCCCGGTTTGAACGAAATGGCCGGTGCCGGTGGGAGTAGCCATCAGGGGACTGACGCAGACAAGTCCGATATTATCACTCAAGAGAAGGAGCAAGAGATGCTGTTGAAGAAGAAGTACGGTGGCCTTTGCCCCAAAAAGCCACCTTTGATAGCCAAAGACAACGAACGTGCGTACTTCGATTCTGCAGACTGGGCCCTTTGTAAGCAAGGATCATCTCACCAGCTCCAGCACCAAAGAAGTCATATGGAGTCTCTTCCACCGAAACTTCAGCCCACCCCTCATCAACAGCTTCCGGCGAGAAGAGCGTCATACGTTCCTCCGGGTTCTGAAGCTTTCAGACAGATAGAAGAGTGTGAAAGAAAAAGACGTGCTGTCTCCATGAGTGTCAAACCTGAATCCTGTGGCCCTACATCCTCATTGAATGGAAAAGCTCCGCAGTAAGTTCGGTGCGATTGACCGATGGACCAGCTCCGTCAACTGAGACAAACAAACGCAATTATGCAAGATGTATCTTCGAAGGACTGAAACAACCCAGATTGACGGATGCATTTAGGAACATCGCTCTCGTTGGATAACATTCATCAATCCGCAACTAAGATGCAACATCTAAAACTAACTGAGACATGGCAGGCTGCACCACTTGTGATGAGGAAGATGTGCCAGCGCACGCTCTGAGTGAAGTCTCGGATGATGGAATATGATTACGGTTCGTATTACAAAGCAGAGAGATGAAAAAACTTCCTGCCAGAATTAGTACTGGAAAAGGAGACGTCTGCAGTGGGATTCACATCCATCTTTGCCTCTGAAGATAGCTACCAAGGTTTCCACTCTCTACACTAGACCGAACCAGATAATCAACACATGCAGTTACTACTCAGCTTCCGGGGAAGAAACAAAGCGAACAGATTGTTTCCACCAGACTTAAATGTGATGGAAAGCTGACAGCGACGCGAATCATTCGTATGAACAAGAAGCACGTAACTTGAACTTGCATCACGAGTTTGTCCACCATCTATACAAACGATCGGAAACAACTGCAAGGGCGGATATCTTCCACCGTAATAGGTAGCAAGCATATTCTGAACTCATCGTAGCCTGGTTAGAGAAGTAATACAAGCAAGGACTAACTTCGAAATTTTCCTTGATAAGGAATTGTATTCACTGACCATGACCAGACATCATGACATCCTCAACACAAATGTTTAGCTGAAAGCACTCAATCCGTGCATCACTTTGTATATATTGACATGGATATCCAATTTCGATTGTCTAGTATTTTGAATGTCTCAACCTAATGGTGCATGTATGGAGTGTCTCAACTTCAAAAGATGGAATTCATGGACGAAATTGTATGGGTGAAGAGAGATTTCGGACTAGATAAAATAACAATGATAAGAACAGACATGGAAGATCTGCTGCAAAGCTTTTAAAATGATTGTGTACAACCCACAACAAGTGGAACACAACTCCAAATCAATACAATGCCTGAAACCAAGACAAAGTTGTACGTCCTCTATACAAGGTCCTCTACACAAATGTGAAACATATCACGTCAAACAGCCATAACGTGAACGGATGACAGCAATAAGAAATTCTTATGGCTTTGCGTCCTGAAGACATTCTTCGCGCCCCACTGTGGGTCGGGAGTGCACTTCAAAATCATCACCACTCGAGGGAGGAAGCAGGACCTCAGCCCTTTCCAAGCATATTTTACAGTATTCCCACTGGCATTTGTATCACCTTGTTTGACGGGTATTTGTGTCCATGCTAAATGGCTCTCTCCGATGTAAAGAAAAACCCAGTGTTATTGGCTCATCATATTTCTGGCCTCTGCTTCGGCTGCTGATTTCCATATGATGTCGGTTAATTGCGAGCAAAAGCTCTTGTAGAACTGCAAAGCCACACCATGATGTTAGTCACAACATAAGTAACCATCAATCTCCTCATTCCAATAGACAGAAGACATATTCATGCAGTAAGCAGATAATTTTCATAATCCCATAGACTATATGACTAGAATGTGATTCAGTTGTTAATCTCGGTGCTAGTTTCAATAGGTATTTAACGTAAGCATAGGTAACTAATCAACTACTTTTAAGTAGAATTCGGCAGCCACCTGCCACCTTAGGATTACGTTTTCGAGCTATATTCGGTTTTGAGGCATCTTATGTATATTGCTTAAACACACACCTTGCCGATGACATTTTCTTCGGGTACTTAACACATCTTTTTGAGTGTTCTATTGCTGAGAAGTAGGTAGGTGTGGAGTTCCGGGTTGTTGTCAATTCAACTGTGAGAAGTACTATCTTGAGTCTGATCTTAGTATTACTGCTCATAGGCGACCTGAGGGGAAAGAGGAATGATAGCTTGCTATGACTCTGGATTAGCCATAGATTGCTATGGCGAATAGGAGAGTTTAGCTTGCTGCTGGTCATACATCTGTAGGACATAGAGACAGCAATAGAGCTAAGAAATTTTAAACTTGGAAGACAAGAAGCTACCTTGTGATACTCGAGAGTATCGCCGACAGCCTTTCGAACCTCGATCATGTATAGAGATGGTACAACTTCAAATACCTGGGCACAGAACCGTTAGCTTAATCCACACCACGTGGCAATCAATATCAATAAAATACAGGTCCTACTACGGTCAAAACAAGAGAAATTTGGGTTGAGATGTTCATCGAGATTAAAAAAAAAAAGAGGTTTCTACATCCTCTTAGGAAAATTTCTATTAGCAAAATTATGGAAAGACACCAGTAGCGAGTAAGACCCATATCTATGATAGAATGACAAGGACACACGTAAACCTCAAATCATAGGATCAGAAGATGGAAAATGAAATGCCGAAATGCTACTCTCCGTTTTTGTCCTGTATCGGATATGAGAAATTCTGCCCTAGCCAGAACAACTCTCGCACCCATTCACCTACTCACTCATGCCATCTATAAATTCATTGATTTGACCAATCAACGCGTTCTCAGTACCTCGATAGCAACGGAGAGGTTTCCTCCTCTTCCTGGGGTGACTCCTTCCAGCCTCATCTGCAGTCAAATAAACCAAAACACGAGCTTCCTGTTTACTCTCCAATCGTACCAGACCCACATCTTCCAACAGACCTCAGCTTACGGGCCACACTTTTAACGCTCAGCCTAGGGCTACACCTGACGTAGATAGAGACCTAATGGCTCCTTTTACATTTCAGAAACAAAATTGACTCCATTAAGTATAGCATTGATCTTTAAGCAGTGCATAAGGGCAATGGATGCTACGGGTAAAGTAATGATTTATCAACTGAGGTGTAAATTATCCTAGCATACATCGAAGTTCCCGGACACCGGAAAATCGATGAAGTAATCAGAGCGAGATCGAAAGAGAAAGACCAGTAACGAGGATACTACGTACGTATTGCAGCATAGAATGTTCAACAAAAGATTCCAAGATATTTTTAATTGTCGGAGAAGGTTCATATTATACAAAATGCACGTTTCCCCAAAACGAATAGTCTAAACATCATACGGATCCATAATGTTCCTGGAGTCAACGTGCGTATGACAAACTTCTAGATAGACTGTATAAGCAGGAGACCTTGGAGCGAATCACTCGCACCAAGGTATTACCCACATGACTTCCAGAATGTCCCTGACTAAGAAGTAAAAATATTTCATGCCTCGCGGCCCAGGTTTCCGATACAAAGATGTAAAGAGGCAGAAGAAAGTCGATCATATGGTGGTGAATCTCTTCTGAGAATTAAAAGGTGAACCAGACACAAATTACGAAAGTTTGAAGGGGACACTGAGAGAGCATGAGTGCAGACAGTATACACAAAAAAGAAGACTAAAAAGGATCGCCTGCTAATCAACGATCTCTGCATTCTGAACAACCTAAATCAAGCCTATTGTTAGCAAATAATTGTGATTGGACTAAAAATTTGATTTTCCAAATTGAGCATTTACTCCACTAGATATGAATGTCAAAAGGTACAATGAGCATTTTCAGGCAATGGGAACGAGTACGGAAAGAAGTGATTCGCATCACAGAAGATTCTGTGATCTAGACATCCTCTACAAATTACAGACAATACTGCTATAACTCAGACGCAACGTTGCTTTATTTTGACACTGAGAACATTTACGTCCCCTTCAGACATTATACAGCAAAAAGGACTTCGAGAGGAAAACGATTGATCAACTCATTAACGACTTTTACGTTACATGAACACTGACGGCACAGACTTTGCACGATTACATTCGGCTTGGTCTACATTTTCCACAAATCTATCGTGGTCTGGATCGAAACCAATGATCTGTAGAAATAGATCAGTCACTTCTGTACTCTCTTTCTACTATGCACTGCATCAGAGCGTCGTTTCTTCCAGAACTGTGAGGGGTCTTGTGACGACCGCCATGCACGCGCCTTACACCTTTCACCCTGAATTCGAATAATCTATAGAGATCTACTCATAAGATGACATAATACGCCAAAAACTCTGATATTTCAAACCTCTGGGGTTTTTGAAACTTCAAGGCGTTGTCCAGAACAGCATTGATAACTGGATTGACCTGACCGATGTCATCTAATAAACTTTAGCATGAACCAGAGTCCACTTATAAGGAACTCTTCATGCTATACTTTCAAGGCTTCATGACGACGCCTTCTCGTCCTGAGTGAGCTTGTAACCACCGTTGGCTGTTGTTGATGCTTATGAACCTAGGTTCACAAGCATGCCATTTCCAGATATTTGACGGTGCCACGGTTTGCACTGGGCAGCACAATACTTGTTTTCATGAACCAGAATTAAGCTTGACTGAACTTGAGTACGTTCAGCATACCTGCGACTGCCTTATCTAAGCAGTATACTGGAAATGGAAGCAATGTCTCGGAGGTGTCGAGAAGTTTTGCCATCAAACTTGGTGCTGTCTTATCAGAGCTATCCTTTGACCCCGAGAACAGCTGACGGATTCATGCTTCTACTACTGAAAAGTAATACGGAAGTACCTCATCTGAACATTCCCTAAGTTCGCCATGCAAATGTCGAAAACACCGACTGACCATGTACTGCCCATCTTTCCCATCACTAGGTGGACTAACCAAAGCTGGCCCTATAATTTGACTACAACTTCAAAATTTCCCACTTGAGACTTCAAGTGACCAGCCATTGCCTAAACAAGTTGAGGCCGAGTGACTACTTCGTGTCATGATTTTATCTGCAACCCATTCTGAAACAGATCTAACCTTTCAAGGTCTGCCAGACGTAGCAACTCAAGCTAAGTACTCCGTCTCCGATGTATTTACTTAACAGGGAGTGAGCTGTGAATATCTGTAAGGGCATGATTCTAAGTTACTCTCTTAAAGGAGTGTTCTCGCCCAAGTATGGACGATAACCTCCTCGACTCATCCAAACCCTTTACACACCATGAACATGACCACCGGGGAGCACAGCTGGTTTTGAACATTTTGCATAGGCGAATCTGAATCAGAGGACATGGACATGCCACCTAATGCATTACTCTGTCGGTTATATGAAATGGATCTGTCTCGATTGTGTCCAAAAACGTCCATCGCATGCGATCTGACCACTCAAAGTCACGCGTACTGATTAAGACGGGGCAATTGGGTCGTTAGGGTGAAGACGGGGGAGAGGAACTGCACTGAGGTGACTCTAGACTCGATACGATTCTAATTTAGAGAATAAAGGTTGCTCATTGTCAAACCAGAAACTTACCTTGTAGCTGCGAGTCTGGACAGTAAAACCTAAGGCCTTAGCAGCTTCTTCCATTTTTCCCATAATCTCCTTAGCTGGCTTCTTGGAAGTGAATCGAGTTTGCCGTCTGACATGGTCCTGCGGGTTCACAACAATTATGCCATCAATGTGTCTTCTTACAGCTCCAGGCATCGCTTGACTTCTCGTACCTATTCTAAAAGGACAATAGTTGAAGCTCACAAAACATGTGTAAACCTGAAAGATATAAATAAGCAATGAACAAGTGCTGAATCTCGAACGCAAATCCTTCACTACATTTGCTGGCCAAGTTTCCAGAGTGTGCGTCTTACAATCACCCGACATGAATGTACGGTTCCAGGCCATACCTGACGTCTATCGAAAAGAACGGAAAGGTTGAGCCCCTGAGCAAGAGTGATGAGCTCGAAAGCATTCATCATTGAGGGGCCATCTTTAGATTCTTTCTGCTCATTCACATACTGGTCCTGAGGAAGCATGGACACAACAAAGTTACCAAGCCGTTCACCAACACACCGAAATTCAGCTGTACGAAGCCGAGAAACACCATAAAACACGAAAATACAACACAGAAGAGTCAGATTCCATGATAGAGATGCGGCAGGAATGAAAGCATCACAAAGTTAAAGAATGTCAAAACCTCAACTGCAATATTCCCATGAAAAACTCCCAGCATTATACAAGTATCTAGCTCGGGCTTAATCGAAGTTTGCAAGCATTGTCACCGCGGAGGTGGAGGTCATATATCCGGATCATTGAAGATCATAATCTTCAAATAGTCTAAATTTTCTCACATATATAAGGAGTAATGTACAGACAAAAGGTGACACTAACTACTGCTTCGAATCACAACAGAAAATACCATTCAAACTAATTAACTGTGAAGCCGGTACCAACCTCTGAATCATCGAAAACTGCCTCAACATCGTCCAACAATGTGGAATCGTCTTCATCGTGCATCCGTACAGGAACATAATTTCTTCTGAACCATTCATCTCTACGTATTCCGGAAATCTTAATACGCTGCACATTACAATTGGCTAGCTTGTTGGACAATGAAAAGAAAAAGAATAGAAGGCTATGAGGGTGACTGCAATATAAAAAGTAACGTGTCAAACACGAGAGCAACAGGCGGTTCCAAGGGCAAGATCACTCACAGTCTGAGGGTTTGGATCCAGGATACGTGTAATCAAAGACCTGGCACCAGTTGAAAACCAAGGTGGACACTGAAACTCCGCTACATGAATCTGTCAGCAGGAAAATTTCCATACGTTGATCTTAGAGGGCGAAAATGCCTTAAGACTCAAGAAAAGATAAAAAATTAGTGGTCATTCACAACTAGGTCAAGTTACAGCCAAGGTCATTCCAGTCATCATCAATAAGAGACAACATAGCGACAGAATAGCAATGAAATGTTAATGACAACGTGAAACAAATTCCTTGAAGAACATAGAAGTATGTCCATCACAATCCAACATCTAAAAGTACTTGGGCATCAGTAATTGTTATCCACCTTTCGATAAAGTGTAACTAGATCTGCCTCATCGAAGGGAAGGAACCCTGCCATCAATACATAAAGTATGACGCCACAGGACCAAACGTCGGCCACTGCACCATCATAGCCCTGGTCGTTAAGGACCTGCCCAATTCCAGAAATACGTAGACATATATAATATACGTGCTTGTTAACCCGTGACTCTTGACAAAAACAACGCACAACTTTGCTTTTACGAAGCTACACAATCACCACCATAAAAGCTCTGCTACAGCTCATCAATTTTGCCACTTTGAACTTGAGCAATTAAAACTGGCGTATTTCGCATAGCCCATACAAACCAGTGGACGGACTGCTTCAACAGAGACTAAGATCGTAGAAAATTAACCTGAGTTTCCTGACATTGATTTGGGGGAAGAGGGCTATTAGGATAAGCTGTCCACTTAGTAATCAATGCAAGCAAACAATTACGGAAGATGCACGTATTTTCTAGTACGTGGGACGACAAAGAAAGGAATTTTCTCGATTTTGTGTGTCACGGGGGCAACGTTTATGAGTTGTAGCCTGACGAATACTATGTTCTCGTGAAGGACTTGCACACACTAGAAAGGAACTTCCCTCTCTTTTAACACGTTACAGGTTTGAGTGTAATTCGACATGCCAAACGAGTAGCCAGATCAGCTTTGATAGAAGGCTTACCTCAGGAGCTACATAATTAGGTGTTCCGCAAGTAGTATGGAGAAGGCCGTCATCCTGCAAGATAAAGGAGTTGGAAAACTATCAACTCTCTCGAAACCTGTAAGAGATTCTTGGGGCTCAAACGCTAGCTGAAAAGAGGGTGCAAAACTACGTGATTCAGTCTATTGATTGTTTGGAGCAGTATAAATTTTTTCTAATATACTCAATCAAGGAGCGCAGCAACACAGACACAGCATACCCGCAATTGCTGTGGGAGCGCACTCAAACCAAAATCGGAAATCTTTAGGTTTCCTTGAGCATCTAACAGCAAATTTTCGGGCTGCAGTTTACAATTCAGAATCATCAGTACGTAGTCAACAGAATTTCCAACGACGAGATGGTGAATAGAATAGTGCCGAGCACCTCAGGAAACTTGGACATCTCTGCAAGCTGCTGCAAATACAACCTGTCTTTAGCATCTTCCACGTTGGGGTCTAACCAGAAACTTACCTTAAGATCGCGGTGATACACTCCTTTGCTGTGGCAGTAATCTACTGCGTCAATCAATTGCTGGAAGTATCTCCTGGACTCGTTTTCTGTAAGTCTGCCTTGATGCACCTGTTCGTTGGGCAAATGCATAATATCGACCATAGTCAATACACTGCTAAGAGGTTTTTAACTATACTGGACCAAATCTACTGCTTCTCAACATGCAGGGAAGTGGAAGGAAGAGGATTGGAGCACAGTATAGAAGATAAACCATTAAGATCAAAAACATTCCATACATTTCAGATAGCTCAGAAGTGAAAAGGGAGACATCCTATTCGTTCAGTACGTTGCATATCGAGAGGGTAAAGGGCTCACAGTGCTCACTATCTTGTCAAAAAGCTCACCGCCGGTAACAAACTCGAGAATGATATAAATTTTTCCCTTGCTTGCCAAAACCTGCCGGAGGATGGTGAATTCCATGCATGTATAGACATTCACACAGCATGTTAGTCCAACATCGCTCCCACAAGAATAACGTGTTGATCACAGATTCAAACAAACCGAAACAAGAGCAGCTGGATCGGAGAACCAAAATCAAAGATATCGAACCTCGTGAAGACGTACAACATTCGGATGTCGAACGAGCTTCATCACCGATATTTCCCGCTTGATCTAAAGGTAGAGCAGAACAATTTAGTTAAAGCCTGCCTGTAAAGGTAAAGCGTATCAATAAAGCGTAAAGCTAAAGGTAAAGCGTATCTCATATCCTGATTGTGTCGACCTCCATCAGCCAAGAGATTTCGAAATTTATCGAAATAAAGCTAGAACTGTAATCTTGAAAACATAAGCAAAAGTTTGGTACTTGAACTAGCGGCATTATCAATACACATAAAAACAAAGTTCTTTCTGAAAATACTAGTTTTTTCTTGAATGTCAGCTTCTACAACGTAGATAACCTTCAGCAATTCAGGTAGAATAAGGTAGCATCCGATGCCTAGGGCCCATGCAATGCGTGGTACGTGTAACGAACTTGATTGCAGGATCTTAATGGATGAGCCAACGTAATAAACTGGTTATACGCAATAAGGACCGAAAAATTCTATCAGTCCTTTCATAAAGTGATAGAATTGCCACTACCCACGATAATGCGTAGTGGCAGTTGTCCCTAGGAAGTACCAGCGGGAATCTCAAAGTGCAATGAGAGACCTCGGATCTTCAATGTCAGGAACACACTATACCAATCACCAAGTCGAAATGACACAATTGCACGGGGACAGGAAGCAGACTGTAGGAATCCTATTGCGGGGCAATTTGGTTACTGGGTGTCAGGGACAGGCAAGGAAACGCTCACTTGATCCACCATCTTGTGTTGGAGGATTGTCTTTTTATCCAAAACCTTCATGGCAACGCTCTCTCCTGTCTCCGTGTTCTGGGCGAACTTGACCTTCGCAAATGTCCCCTCGCCAATGGTACGACCGACCTCATACTTGCCTACCTTTCTGACCACCATTGTAGCTTGCGTTTTTCAACAAATGTTAAATCGCGCACATCATCTGCACAACCTGCCTCTCGGTGAGCACAGATGACTGCGACCACTCACAACAAACAAAAATATCTCTTTTCGCTGGTGACAGTTGGACACTCATCAGATGTTCTACAAAATTTGAAAGGATGGATGCCGCTGTTGGTATCTCTACCCGCCACGCACTCAGCCCTACAGCAATCTCTCTTATTTTTGCTCTGCTCTTGCTCCACGCTCGCTCACTCACGCTCCGCCCGCCCTCTCTAGGTTCCTCTTTTCTCTGAATCGAAGTCTCGCTATATCCTCTCTTATCACTCTGGTCCCTGATCCAACAAGTTCCCGCGACGAAGTCCTCTCAATGCAACCCTAAGCCAAGCAGGCAAAACGGACAAGAAGAGACAAGATTCGCAACAAAGGATTGTATTCATGAAGAAGGCAAGAGGCCAGGTCCCCAGAGATGAAGGTTGCCCCCTATTCAGCGTGGTCCCACTCACCGGCAACACCACCAACATCGCTAGCAAAGAAGCTCAGCTACGCAAATCACACTCTACGCATTCCAATTACTCAATGCCGATGATGATTTCGCAACCCAGGATCAGTAGCGATGGCACGCAACCGGGCAGCGACCACCTTCACCCTGACCTTCGAGTGACTCAACACAGCAGAACAAAGCATAGTTTACAGGTCCTCTGCTTCGGACAAGGAAACTCGATAATTTCTCCCGTACTGGACGCAATAGTTCCTAATAGAAACAGCCAGCCCGGCCCCACCTGCTGCTGGATCCCATGCCATGCCATACCCTACCAGACCAGGGCATCCAGATCGGGAAAGTTTGAGATAAGATATCGACAGATTCGCTCAGAGCACAATGTGCTGCAAACAATCACTATCTGGCATTCCTGTTCCGGTCCATTTTTGTTTGCGTTTGCTTGGGTCGAGAGACATCCAGGCCATCCAGCCCGCATTGCCTCGCTGTGGCTACTACAACTTACAATGCATCGTTCTTCGTATCTACACTCGTGCCTCTTCTGGGGTGAAATGCGCAACGCACAGCATCCGCCCAACGCTGCGGTCGGCCATGCCCGAAGAAGAAAGACAATTGCGGGTCAAATCAGACTGTGAGTCGCCACACGCCACTGCTGCAAACTTACCAGAATCAGAATTAGACAAGGCTTAGCAGGTCCGTAGCTTCCGGCCCCGCTTCTCCATCTGGACTAGCAAAGGACATCTCTTCTGGCAATCTCTCGCCCAGCCCCAACCCAAAGGCACCTTGACTTTTGATCTTTCCTCCTCGATCTTTCCTCACTCTTCCACTCGCCAGCTCCGGCCCCGAGCTTGTGTCTTCGATTTACACCAGGCGTGGGACGGGCATCAAACCCGTACGCATGGGCAAAAGGCCCAAATAACAAGGCACCAATACACATCCGCCCAAGACCCCACCCTTCCACACTGCACGAAGGCACGAAGATTATTGCTTCCTGGACCAAGCTTGATGCAAGCTCAATAGGGCCAGGAAACCGGTAGGGCACGTGAAAATGTACCGCCCTTGTTGGTGTTGTGTGAAGACTAGTCACTTGTCCTTTCATTACAGCGGAAGTGGTTTCTTTGTAAAGTTTCCGAGCATTTCTTCTTTGTAAACACGTGGTAACCACCATGCTTGATCTTTTATCGTATGGTTTACAATCTCTTATCATCATGCTTTAAACATAAGTGATTTAGTTTTCAATTGCATGAAAAAGCTCCAAAACATTAGTGAGATAATGCACTTGTTTTCAACACCCAAATCAAACATCGTGTAGGAAAAACGAAAGGAGATGTGTAAACATATCAAATATTCTGACATCAATATTACCAAGTTTAGGTGTGCCACATGCAGCTCAAAAGTTTAAGCAATCTTCTTGCGTGACAGATAGTTCATATGAGTAATTTATTGTTACATTTCTGGTTGTCATATTTATAGACTGTAAGTTGTTTGTCCAGAAAGCAACAGCGAATGAAATTATTTTCGATTCACAAGCAATGCGCGTTGTCCCTTCTCCCTAGTAACCAGTGATAATCACATTCACTTATCTAGCTAGATATCAATTTTGCGGTGTGTCTATCTAATAATATGAGTTCTATATATAAATCAGCATGATAAACCTCCACCGATTGCGCACACTTGAGCTTACCAGTCTAATGTTGGAGATGATTATGTCCATAGCTTGAAGTTGAAGTTGGTGAGTAACCATACTCCTTGATGAATGACAACCATCAAATATTATAGTGTGTAGAGAGTTCAAGTAAGCTAAGAATCATATAAAATTCTCTATATAAATCTGAAATAATCATTGAGTTACTATATGTATATAAATTTCAGTATGTTAGATGAATATCTTTTGGATATATATATAAAATTCCAATGTGATGTTATTCTAACATATTCCCATCTTACTCCAATGATTTCAAAACTATCTGATGGTATCATAGTTCTTACCACAGATCATAGTTTCTACCACATAGTTCTTACTTCGTTTCTTAGAGCATGGTGATTACTGTACATGAGTGGCCATGAGAGAGGCGAAGACAATGTGTGAGTGGGTGTCGCCCGGAGTTAACGACACAGAAGAAAGGAAATGGTCTAAAAGATTACCTACAAGATCAGTCCGAGGTTGAATATGCCCCCTTTGTAAGTAAAGAATGTTGTACTTCTTCCAAAGCCAGCTTTTTCAGTGTAAGTCAAACGTGAATCCAAACATCGAGGATGGGGAACATTAACCCCTCCTTCTTGTGTGTCAGCCCCCAGGTCAAACATCTGTTTAGAGGACGCCATGTGCTGAATTCTCCCTTCTTGTAGGAACTCATCGTTGAAAGTGCTTGTCTGGATGGCTCTTGGGCTGCACTGGCCAACTCGCTATGGTACGCCTCTCGGTTACCATCCTAAGCCTTCGTCTTCTTTTACGATGCCACATTATTTCCCCATCGATACGTAAGAACGATTCAGTTACCAATGGATCATCCACATCCATCCCGAAGAATGAATAAGTCGCCAGGTGGGCATGGTCTGCGCTGCGCTGCCCACCAACAAATCCTGCGCATCAAGTACATAGTCCAGACCTTTGACCTCCAGAATCTGCATAGATATACATGAACAAACCATGCATCCATCATTGTCCCAAACCCCATGACTTTATCCGTGTCGATTCTCCTCATCGCTGTCCTGCGCGGGTTGCGTCGCTCCCAGCCGAGAGAGTAAGGAGGAGGAGGTCGGCCAGTCGAGTCGATCTCTCCCCTCGGCCTCCCCGGCCTTCGAAGTTGGAACCGAGTCCTTCCGGGGTCCTTCCGGTTGTTTTGCATTTGTTTGTACTGTAGTTCAGGAAGGTGAACCACAGTCTAGAGGAGTCCCGATCGAGTCCGGTTCATAGCCAATATAGAATAATGATGACCCGTACTAGCAAGAATGTACTTAATACACCCCAGCGCTGGGGTCGGATTGTCTTGCTTATCTGGGGAATATTCCAATTTTAGAGGGGCTGTTCCGTACGGGAGGATCTGGCATTTGCATGGACGCAATCATTCGACTTCCGAGTCGTCGTTTATCCATCAGCAAGAGCACGAGAAGCTCCTGCTGCGTCAATGAGGCGTTATGATTCGAGCGCCGATGTCGGAACGAGAGTAGAGGTTTTGCCGGATCTCTGAACGCTTCGACTCTGCGTTGCTTCTCACCTCGAAACCTTTCGAGTCTTTGCGGCCTGTACGGCCGCGCGGGCAGTTCACAGTGCTCTTCTGCATGGATTCGCTTCACCTGCAGCTTCTTCAGTGGAGGCTGGACACTTATATTGTCGTGCATGGCACTGGTCTAATGCTGACCTCGATTGTTCGCAGTGCGGCCTCGACTCTTGAGATCTCGCTCGGAACAAGGACCTCTACGCACAGAGCGCTGCCTCAGCTCTTTCGCTGCAGATCCAGTGTTTGTGATGGAAAGCGACGAAGAAACGATTATGTCCTGGGATTTCATGACAAGTTTGGCACCTTTCCTTGAAATATCGTTCTCGTTTCGAGGTCCACTTTCATAAACAGAAAATAGCTAACACGTTCACGACTCTTTCGATTCCTGTAGGAAAATTCACGCTTTTCAAGGTACAGCACAAATGACGCTGATACTTCCAAGAAACTGAAGTTAATTCATCTCGTGCCCACATAACCAAAAGGGAAATCTCCACAGTGCAGAAGATGATGTTGAATTCGCTTCCGAAGCGATCGTTTACATTCCAGCTGATGTCCTGGTAGGCTGGACGTATCCTCGTACATCCGTCATATCATAAATTGTAATGATTTTGGTAGATCGATATCAGAGCACAACACCAGTTTCATCTACGTTGTGCAAGTAGAGGATTGCATGGAAAGTACATCTCCAGAGGAGAAAACCTTGCGTTTTTGTTTGGGCCCCAGTTCCACAATTATGCGATCTGCTACACTGGTGGGCTCAGTCATCCATTCGCAATTGGGAAAGGAAAGTCTCCCGTACGAAGGTTACTCGGATAAGTTCAAATAGAGGCACACGGTAATGCATGGGTAAGTGATTAGTGCATGACTGCTTCGAACCCACCGGTGGCAAGGGTGCGGGGAGCATGTCAGATCGCCGTGGTCCAAGAAGTAGTTAATTAGAGTAGAAAGTTTGAACGTACAAGAAAGCTTCGGCCATCAAAGACAAAAGCTCATGCGAGAAGAAACAAGGTCTTATCGCCGAGATACTTATCTTTGCATAAATAAAAATGTCTACATAAAAACAATGTCTTTGCAGAAATTTTACTTTGTCTCTTTTGGAGACAAAGTAAAATTTCAAAGTAAGACAAAGTAAGTCTCTCTTTTTGAGGACTTTGAGCGTAATCTGCTTCTTCCGAGGGTGCAAAAGTGGCAAGTCCCAGGAAGCTACACAGATCTGGAGACGCTTACTGCTTCAGGAAGTTCAGGTAAATGCTAGAAATTGTCTTTTGAGGTCCTGGCGCCGTGCGCCTGTTGTACTCAGGACAGCGGAAGATGTGCCGTAGAACTGCCTGTAACTACCAGAATCGAAACAACTCAAAAAGGATGCATGTGCTGTGCTGAATGTTACTTCGTCGATCAACTTCTTAGCCATACAGCAAACTTGGTGTCAAGGCAGAGAACAGCGTTATAAGGAATCTTCTCATATTTGTGCAGCTTTGGCTTGTTGATACGTGGTCCTGCGTGTTGTGGTGCCATGGATCAAATCCCGTACGCATGTTTTGTCTCGAAAGCGAGACGGCCATGGCAAGATTGGCTACGTAGAATCAATTACATTGACCCTTTGACTTGGCAAGTGGGCACCCAACTAGTCTATCAAGGAGAGGATAAATGAGCGAGCGAGCACCTCACTAGCCACTGAGGGCCCAGGCTACTTGTCACCATGACACAACCCCTCGTCACATGCTGGGATAGGATCAATCACCTTCGGTATGCAGCCAAATGAGCCCATTCAGATGAAATCATCGATAGTCTTAACAAATCCAGCGCATCGGATTTGTGTAAATTTCTTCTTTCTCAAGAACGACACAAAGAATCCTCCCACTCGTCGACTTTTGGTTAGTACTGTTGGTGGACCTGACAGGCTCCGGGCGGTGGACTCCACTTGTAGTCTATCCCCGACGGGCTAATCCCAACGAAGCTTGGAGGCAATCTTGTATTTGTATGTTTATCAATATATAATGTCCGAACCGGAGCCCAAACTTGATACTGAACGATCCAGGTCTTTGAACAATGTAGCCTGCATGCATGCCTTGAAGCTAGCTACCAGCTTCCATGCGCTGATAGCGTATCCGATCTCATTTTAGACAAAGAACTACTCGTGAAACTTTATTATGTGAGAGTTCCTACCTTATTATAGCACTGGTTCCTCTTTTGCCGATACATACAGCCAGTTGAAACAGTTGTTCTCTCAGGCTCAAACTCACTATTCTCGCTTTGTTCTCTTCATTATTTGAAAGATCACACACCTCACCTCCTTTACATGAATATGATTATATCCATGCGAGAAGGCACAGCGTCACATAGACTTGCAGCCGACAGAGACATGATTTCAGCAATAACCTTCAGCCGCTAACCTTTGAGGTTAGAGAGGGAGCATCGTTGAAGCCTCTTTAAACACTTAAGCATGAAGGGAGGCTCTTCCTATCTCCTTCTCTAAAGCCGGGGCACCAAATTCTAAAGGAAAAAAAATATTAGAATACCACATCAAGTTTGACAATGAAGAACCAAACGATGTGCAACGATGTGCAAGTACATTATAGCTTCAAATCAAAGGGGCAGCAAGTTATGAAAAATATTTCCACATTGTAAAGTGATATCGCACTCAGACGTAAGTGGAAGTTAATCAGGATGTAATTGAATGTATCAAGCCAAAGCAAAATTTTATTGTAAAGAATGAGATACATAGTCAAAAGTCTTCAGGCAAAGTCAAGTCATGATTCAAATTTCAGTGCTTGTTAAACCAAAACCTTAAATGAGTTTTAT